CATACAAAATTTAAATTAATTTATATATAATATTAAATATATAATTAATTTATATATAATAATTATGAAGACTATATTGAATGAAACTAATGACAATGGATATATTAATTTAAGGTGCTGAAATATTTGCGAAACGTCGAAAAAGATCAGAGAAATGGGTCGTTGATCAGGATCAAGTTAAAACACCGAATACTCCAATTGGTGTAACAAAAATACCCACTAGTTATCCCTATCAATCGGTAAAGAGATTGAAAATAATATTTATTAAAAAATCCCATACTTTTTTCGATAAATTATATGAAAATTTACAGGAGATGAACGGTAATGGTAAATATTCGACGTTGCAACAATCATCACCTTATCAACAAACGGATAAATCATCATTTTATAATCCATTTGCGGTGGATCTTTCTTTAGATAACATCAATCCTCAAGTAACGGGTATGTTTTGTAAAATGAAAAATATTTGATTAATCTCATAATCTACAACACAAACACACACACACACACACATGTCATTTCATTTCATTTCATTTCATTTAAATGAAACTATCAGATCAGTTCAAAAATTCGTGTGCATTTAAGCTCGTATGGTGTACCCACTTTCCAAACTTAAATACTTTTCTAATTCACCTTTAAATGACGAAAAACTGTCCCATTAAATGAATGCATCTTTTCTATAATCTGATCTACTGTTAAAATGTGGCTCTAATTCCACAAAATTTTTTAAGAACATCGTTATCAAAATTGACATACATTCTAGTAATTCACACGAATTTTTGAACTGATTTGATATATCTCGTTCATTTAAAAAAAAAAAATTCGAAAAATCAATCTTTCATTTAACGTTGTTGCGCGATAAGAAGAAGACTTTTTAAAAAATTGATTTAACGAGTTATGGGGGAAGTTAAAAAACCACAACAACGAAAATAAAAGAACACATAGAATCAGCCTAGATTTTTCTCTATGCTAACGCGTTTGGATCAGATAGAAAGAGAGAGAAAGAGAGTATACACCTATTTGATTATGCTATTTATGTTGCCATCGAATCACTTATAAATAATTCAACGAACGGGTCTAAAGGCAAAAGAAGAACGTTCTAGAATTTCGTAGGCACTTGATAGCTGATGTTAGTTCATCGTTGTAGGGATCAATGTTAGACTATGTTGGATTAAATCACTTAGGTAAAAGTTCACCAACCCGTTCACAGTTCCAATTGGCAAGCTACGTTGATGTTATTTAATCGGTACAACATTCGTGTGGTTATTTTTTTTATTTTTTTATATTCGTTTGTACCTCGTCTTACATATACATATATATATATATATGTGTGTATTTAATTAAAAATAATCGTGAATAATTGATTTATCTAGATTTTTATCTTCATTTTATTATCATAATTTTGTTTTCTTTTTCAATCGGTACAACACATTCGTGTTCTATGTTTTTTTTTTAATTCTTTTGTCTCATCTTATACGTACATATATATATATATATATATATTTAATTAATTGAAAATGATTTTATTTAG